AAGAGTTCTCGGCTTTCAGTATTAATTTGTTGTATATACCAGCCTTATGGGCGTTGTATATTATGTTTTACTCATTTTCGTTCGTCGGATGCGGCCCTTCAGTATGTTTATATTACCATTCCTTCTTTACCGGGACTTATCTCCGACTTAAAAAGAAACTTTGTGTTGCATTACTCGATCTTGTCGTGTTATGAGATTAATTAGAGTAGATATGTTCATGAGAGCATACTGGTGAAACAGGAACTTGGGGAAGAAATAAGCCTTCAGATGAAAACAGACAGACATTGATAAATTATGAGGAAAAACTATTTAATATAGAATTGAGTAAAATTATGTTAATTAACGGTCTAATGATTTTGGTTCACACCCTTAATTTGAAGTGCAGAGGCTTCCTCGGGGGAACTATTTGAGTCGTTCAGTATAATCGAAACTGGTTTCGTCGAAACCAGTCGCCAAACAGCGCTTTCCCCTTGAAAGAATCTTTCAGGTATTTGGTTGTTGCTGAGGTCAGAGAGGGGTTGACTGTTGTGAAAGTTTGTGAAAGTGAAGTTGTAATTTTTTCTCTTGCAGCACCAAGATCGAGTTATGGATGCACTTGAGAAGTTTGGAGAGCACTCAAAAAGCTAGAGTTGCTCTCGGCTGCGCCTCGAGCTACTCTTACACATTTTTCGTGCTCTCCAAACTTCCCGCATGCATCCATAACTTGATATACGCACGTTAAGCATGAACAAAATCTTAAGTGCTCGAAAAATTTGAGTTAATTTCTCGCACCAAACGGCAAAGAACTATCCCCAGTTCCTATTTGCTTATTCTTATTGAGTTTTACGAACGATAACAACGACTCAATCCATGTTAAGTCAGATACTCAGTCAGTATCTTACGTGCAATTACTCGAATGGCCCGGATGCATGAACTTCGATTAACTGCGCTTGCTTTGCGATGTTCCATCCGGGCTACTGCCACTGAAATGGTGGCGATAGCTCCCTAACACACACGAAAAGTTGTTGGTAGGGTATCATAATTTATCTCTGCAAAACTTTTTATTATCATCTTGTCGCACGTCAGTGAGTAGTTTTCAAATTTTAGTTCCACCTAAACGACAACTGAAAACAATCTAATCAATAGAGAAATTTTCCGTATTTACATATAGCCTCATCTAAGTAATCTGGGCTGGGTTGTTCAAAGCTGGGTTTAGATAACCCGGGGTGAGTGTGAAATCGGATTTCAGCTCTAGAAGCTTTTAAGGAAAATTCAGTAGAATTCTTTTTGTCAACAATTTGATGATTGGATGCTCCATATAGAGTAGAGAAAATGATCCCAAAAAGGCTATCGAACAAAGAAGTATAGAAATCCAGATTAAAATTTAACCCTGGGTTAGTGCTAATCGGCTTTCGAAAAACTGGGCCCTGAAGGACTGGGTGAACTCGTGACAATTGTGTATACCCAAGACGAAGTCGAAAGTTTGCATAACTTCGAGGAATTCACCAAGCCAACCTAATGTTTAAACGAGGCTCTGTAATTAACAGAAAAGGTCTTCCCATGTATTCAGTTAAACATATTTAGCAAAAAATACCAATCCATGTAGCATTGTAGGTGTTGACATACTCTCGTCAAAACACGCTGGTTATCGAATAATGAAGGTGTGCCTGGTATCTCAATGGCTTTATAAGGCTTAATGCATTATTGAACCAGACCGGACCAATTAAGCCAAAAAAAAACTTTAAATTTTTACACAAAAATGATGTTAAAAGATCCTCTTTTTGCCCACGATATATAACGTTAGACTCCTCTAGTTGACTCTTTCTGCACTAGTCTTATTCCGCTTTAGAGACTTTTTTGTTTGTGTCTGTCTCCATCGATGTACATGGACTAACAAATAACATCTCTAGTTACACTATAAAATTTGTCGGTATAGACTGTAAGCTGTTATGAATTACAATCATTCACGGGAGAGAAATACGTAAAAAAGGACATGTATTTGTGTAAAAAAGGCTGGATAAAATGTATAGTTTTGGACTGCCTCGCAAAGAGTTGATTAACGGTATTTTCTAACAAAACATTTAAAATACTACTCTAAAATGACTTTGCGTACAGCCACGCTCTCCACGTCAACTTATTTAATTTAAGTCATTAAATATTTAAGGCTTGGAAGAACGACTCTAACTTTTAATCATTGTTGTACCCTATTAAGAGAGGAGTTCCCTACATACAGTGACCACCTGCAGCATGGTATGTTAAAAGACTCCTTCTTTGTACAACGTCTTCATTAAAGCTCATTAAAACCTTAACAGTTGAACGGAGACCGACGTCCACTTGTCAGCCTCAATAAACATTCAAACATCCTTTTGTGGCATGATCATACCGCAAAGCAGTGGAATAAAAAGGAGAAAAAAAGAAAGGGAATCAAAAAGGTCTTTATGCAAAGGTAAAGTTATCATGGAGACTTAGAAAAGAGATGTATGAATACGGGCAGGCTTAAGCTGTTCAGCCATAATACATCGTTTTAGGGTTATCGTATCGCTTTTACGACAGTCCTAGTCAAAATTTTATTGCGCAAGGAATGGAATATGGAAAATGGGGTGACGAAATATTAACGTAAGAAAACAAATTCTAAAGGCATTTTTCCTAAGATCAATTAGAAATATTTTAATCATGAATCATGTCAATGTAGTTTTTGGCAAAAAGTTGATTTATCACGCAACATTTTGGTTTCACTTTGATATCACCTTACAATCAAGAAATAAATTATGCTGCGTTGATATGTGTCACCCTTATTAGTCTATGAGCTAATAATCGTCGTCATCATTCATTAACTTATTCACCTGGAACTAATGGAGCCTCAATCTCATTGCATCTGTCGAAGTTATGCCCTGAGACACGTTTGTTGAAAATCCAGTTAACTTCACAGATCCGAAGCCATAATTTACAGTTCTCAAATTGAGGGATAGTATTTTGGGTCTTGGTACTTTTGAATTTTAAAGCGATCAAAGTTTCTATCTTGAACGTAAACACAACTAATAAATTAAGCTTTGTGGATCTGAATCTACAAGGACTTTCGAGAAACAGCTCCCTGGTTTCTACACTCGCTTAGGTCTTTATTCGGCCCAGTTTGAGAGTTAATCTCCAAAACCGTTGAAACAATTAATCGACGACTCTGAGGATAACTCCTAATCGCCAGATTCACCATGTTAGATATCGTCATAAAAATTTAATTGCTTCTCAAGAATACTCATATCCGGTATTCGTTGATGACTTCGATATTTGGTTTTCTAGTGACATATGTCCAAAATTCTGCCAAGTAGCTAAACAGAAAAAAAGAAAAACACCTCTACCATTATACCTAGTTTGCATACCAAATGTTAAATCATTAGCCGATGAAAAATCCAAATTTTAAAGATCGAACAACGTAAGCTTCACCTTCATCATCTTGCATTATCCTTTGGTTATTATTATCATCATACGCATTCCTTCCACAAATTTTCCGGTGCTAATTACAATCCTTTCTCGCTGGAATTTTGAGAGTGTGCTCATTACTATAGTATACCTTTTAAATGAAACAGTTTTTGCCCTTCTTTCACGCCTTCTCTCACAATCCCCACAATATGTTATTGTTAATGTTTCATTAGCTAATTCCATGACCATCTGATGTGGTCTTAGGGGCCCTCTTTTATCAAAACATGGTAACCTTTAAATACTTTTTGACGTGAGACTTTTATCCCAATTAATAGTTAGTGGAGAGCCAAAGAATTGCATTTTGATTTTCGTGTTTCTGTTGTGGCCATATCAAACCGTTATTTCAATTCAACCGACTTACAAACTTCCTGTTAACCAGTACATTAGAAACAGCTGTAATGTTAATGATCCCACGCAGTTGACTGATTCCTCATAATAAGACGTGGATAATATGTATTTACATCTACTCATTAAAGCTTTTGAAGGACACCGTCATCAACTGGAAGCTCTTTACACCAGAAAATTAAAATTAAATTAAGTTTGGTTTGTAAAGTAAACTTAGAGGTTGTACTAAGTTGACACTCATTTGTGGCAACTGGTAAACTACAATGAGAGAAAAACAAATAAATACATTGCAAATGGATCTCGTCTCTCTTTTACTTCATAGTGAGGACAAAAGTATTAGGATATTCTGTTACAAACACCGGATTGGGGGATTTTTCAATTTTACTCTCACAAATTATTGGGCGTTGTATATTATGTTTTACTCATTTTCGTTCGTCGGATGCGGCCCTTCGGCATGTTTATATCACCATGCCTTCATTTCCGGAACTCATCTCTGACTTAGAAAGAAACTTTTTGTTGCATTATTCGATCTTGTCGTATCATGAGAATAATTAGAGTAAATATGTCTATGAGAGCATACAGGTGAAACAGGAACTTAGAGAAGAAATAAGCCTTCAGATGAAAACAGACAGGCATTAATAAATTATGAGAAAACACTGGTGCACCCCACAAATAGAATTGAGTTAAACGATGCTAATTAACGGTTCAATGTTTAGGTTCACTCTCTTAATTTGACGTATAGAGGCTTCCTCAGGGGAATTATTTGAGTCGATCAGTATGATTGACTTCTTTGTAAATTTCATATCCACGCGACGCCTTTGGATGCCGGCGGACATAGTTAGACTCGGATTCACCTGTCAGAGTGGCCTATAAAACTTCTCAGAATAACTAGTTAATCATTCTGATCACGACTGGGTGAACTGAAGAGAAGCAGACATGAACACAAGGTGGATTATACTCTTCTCCTTTTTTTATTTGCTGCTTCTGATTAATCAAGCAGAAGTCCAGGGCTACGGCAAGCCATACGGCAAAACGTCTCCAGTGGGCAAACGGCGCTTTCCCCTTGAAAGAATCGTGCAGGTATTTGGCTGTTATTTGAGGTCAGAGAGGTTGAATATTGTGAAAGCTTTTGTGAAAGTGAAGTTCTTATTTCTTTTCATGCAGCACCAAGATCCAGCCCAGAAAACTGCCCCGCCAACTAATATAAATTGCTCATGCCCATCGGGAGAGAAGTTCGTCAAAAAGAGGTCAGTTGGTGTTTTAATTATGATGACATTTGAAAACCGTGAGCGAGCTTACTTAGCAGTACACGGGAAGCATTCTTCTGATTAAATCAAGTAAAATTTATAACTTAAATTGTATTTTCCCAAGGAAAATATTCCAAAATTCAGCTTTATTCGTCTTGCAATCTAAAAACCATCAGTGTGTCATGCTACGCTCGACTAAAAGATGCAACGTGATCAAAATTCGGTAATTGTAGAGCGGAGAAACGACTCGATCCATTGTAAGGTTTATTTCTGGTGATCGGTTGATTTGTCACTGACGAATTACAACTATTTTTGTCTCTTTTGATAGAGAGAAGACCCGAATCTGGAGGCTAACGAGTGGATGTACTGAGATGAAACGTCCACTCGCTTGGCTTGTGGATAAACTGTGAAAAGGCGTCATTATATTGCAACGCGAGTCCAGAAGTAGTACCGACTATTAATTTGTTCCTTTTTAGAGATTGTAAGAATACTGTAAAATATTCTGAAATAAAACGATTTGAAACCAGTCAAATGAACAGCATTCTAATTGCTTGTCCCTAGTTTTATCGTGGGGGGGGGGGGGGGTGAGGAGGGGTTTTGGGCATTTTCGCAACCCTCGTTTATAGTTCGATTAATTGTTTTGAGTTAAACTAAAACACCAATGGCATTTGTCCAGATTCAGTAATGTGTTACAAAGGAAATTTGGGAATGATCTACCCTCAAAGCTTAAAAACACATTTAAAACAAATAAATGGAAGAAGACCTGTTTATTAAGTTGATTTCTTCGATAAAAAAAAAGGCTTGTCATGAAGCATACATCAATCTGATTTCAATAAGAAGGCGAATGCAAGTAGTTCTATAACCCGATGTTGATCCGATTTTCATCCTATTACCATGTAAATAAACGAAGTTATATGCACGACACGCAAGCGACACCTTTTACCTGAAACAAAGTTAAATACTTAATATGGCTTCGCTTGAAACCACAAGTAGTCAAAGTAAACACGCCGCATTTAAAATTCAGCTGTCAGCAATGTAAGATAATACAAGCAGCGCACGATCTGCTTTCAAAAGGAAAAAGCACACAAGTTACGATTCAGGCTTTCAGGCATATTGGCCACTCTGTAGACTCCATGCTTTGTCATCAGATGTTAAAATTACTACAACCCTCACAGTAGCCTGGAACATGCTAGTTGATGCGTGATATGTTAACAATCCTATGTAGCTTTTTGAAAATTAACTCTTCGATGCATTTAGACTCTAAAGAAAACCGATCATTAAAGAGAGGGGATCATTTTTGACGACAAAGAGGAAAATATCGGTTACAGAATCATTGCTTGCTGTGTTTAAGATTGCCCGCCTTTAAAAGGCGTGTTGGAATACCAACAAAAATTAACAATAATTCTGAGTTATATCGTCAGTGTTATAGTGTAGCTTCTTTAATGACCGCTGTGAATATATGAAAATCATGTAAGTGAACTGCGGATTAAGAAATGAATACGAAAGCGATCTTTGCAGTAATGAACATTACTTGTGAAAATAAGGCCTGAAAGATTAAAGCCTGTACGGGATTTTAACCCACGACATCTGCGATGCCTATGAATGACTTTCATATAATATATAGATTTAGCCAAGCCTAAAAGCGGAGCTCTTGTTATGTTATTTTCTAGCTCTTCATTACAATAAATAAAAACTGTAATAAAACACGTCAGCACAGGCTGTAGAGGAGTTCCTTCAAGAGGATAGGGGACCAGACGAGGTTCTTAGAACACGCATGCTAGTCAGCGGTATCTTCAAACAGCTTAGAACCTTCGTTGTTGTTCCTGATGGTTTGAGCAAACATTCGAAGATAGGGAATGTTATCTTCTTCAGATGAAGTGTATGATGACAGCATTAATTGAAATTATATTCTATTAAGCATGACTTATAATTTCGGTCTGGGAAAATGAGCCAAAATTGAAAGAAACGACGGTAAACAACTTTGCGCTAAGACATCACTAGTCGATTGGAGTGTATACACGTGAGCACAGTGAATCAGTAAAACTGAATACGCCAGAATCGTATGGAATTCTCTTACATCTTCTCTTGAAGTTGCTAGGTATGACTGCTTGCCCTACTGTTTTCCCCTAATGTCTCAACCTCCTCTGTTGAGCGTAAACATTAGGGACCTTAAGATCCGAGGACGGCGGATGTCTACGACGGCGAGCGGAAGTTTGAATGCGTGTTTACTTACTTCCGGTAGCCGTTCCCCGTAAATTCCCGCCGTAGCTGTGTTGTCTGCGACGTCAAAACAACTAGTTTGCCGTTTCTTACAAAACGTGAGTTGATTACAGTGTTTTTATAAAGTATCTTTTATAATTTTCGTATAATTTGCGCATTATGGAGTCAATAATATTTTTAATTCGTTTGCCTACTCTTCTGAGACCTGATTTTCGAGAAAAAACATGTTTTTTTTCTTCTCCACTAAACAGGTCATGGCTGCAGCCGACACGAGTGCCAAGGAGATTGCTCAGTAAGTTCTCTTACTCTCCTTTCTTCACGTTTTTAGCAATGAATGTGGTGAAACTCAACACGAGTTACGCTTAGTAAATGATAATCTCTCGATTATTTATGTTTGTGAAAGTGTCTTGCACATTTGGTGAACAAAAAAGGGTTCTGCTTGCAGTAAAAAATAAAAGACAAACAACATGCAACACAAACAAAAAGAAAATAGGCGTTAACATTTTATTTTTATCTTTAGAACCAACATGGAGTGGACTGAACAACATGACAATATTCTTTGTCAGGAGATTCTCGTTCTTGAACCATTCAAGGCAAAGAAAGGAAGCATTGCAAGGGGCCAAATTTGGGATAAAATAGCGAACAATCTGAACAGCCTTCAACATCCCCAGTTCAGAGTGACGAAGCGATCTGTCAGAGAACGATATACGCTTTTGAGCGACAAATTTAGAGCAAAGATGCGAGATGAAGAAAAGGCAAGAGGAATCGATACAGATTTGAGTGACGTTGAAAAAGCACTTGAGGAGATAGAAAAAGAAGCTGTGGTTGAAGAAACGGCGCAAAATAGCAAAAGAAAGTCGATAGTGCTAAAGCAGGGGAAATGAGATACAGAACATCGGCGGGACACAGAAAAGACAAAGGAAAGATGAGGTAGAGAATAAAACAGCAGCAAGAGCAAAACGTCGAATTAGTGGTGACACGGTGGCATATTTGCGAGAAAAGAACGACCTCATGCAGAAGTGGAAAATGGAAGAAATGCAGCTACAGAAGAGGCGACTAAAGGCTGAAAGTAAGGCGGAGGAGCAGTCCAAAAAGGAACACAGGATTTGATGCAGGTCATGCTGCAGCAAACTAAACAGCAACAAGAACAAATGCAAAATTTTCAGAAGATGTTCACGCTAATGCAGCAGCAGCAGTCTCAAATTATCATAAAACTTCTAGAAAAACAAAACTAAGTCATGGCCTGACTTTGTACTGTGCAAGATGAATGTAGTTTTCAGCAATTTCAGGCATATGTTTCTTGATTTTGTTTTGTACACTTGCTTTTATTTTATTGTTAGGTTTTCCATGTTATATCAGCTTCATGTTCAGACTTTTTGATTCAAATAAACTTGATTAAAGACTTAATGTTACAGACACTGGACGTTTTGTCTTCCTGGGTTCAGGAGTGTATCATTCCACTGAGGTATTCTATGATTATGTTCCTGATAAACTGTATCCACCACAAGACTGGAAATCATACGTAGCTCTGGAACCGGGCGGCCGAATCGTGGAATTAAATCGCTGAGTCTACATGGGTACGCAAACCTTCGAAGTGCGATACACAACCCTTCAATTCCATCGCATATTGTTCCTTGTTGACATGTAAAGTAGTTAGGAAGATGTAGGGCCTCAAAAAGGACGGGAAGGTCACTCTTGCGAAAACGAAACTCGGATAAACACTCATTGTCATCCATATCATTAAGGTCAAATTTCCCATAACTTTCATAAAGAAAATCTGGGTTTTTGAATGTGTTAACGTCATAAAGAAGAAGGAACTCGTCCTCTGATATATCGCCATCATCAAAACTTTGCAGAATAATCCTACGAATCTCTCTAAAGGAAGCCATGACTGAAGTACTCTATGAGAAAAATCGAAAATATGTAAACAATGCTGCCCGCGCCTTCGACTTGGTCTCTTAAGGATTTTTCGCGCCTTGCGACGGCAACCTCTTCCCAGTCCCCCCTCGGTCATGACAGCCGTCATAGACATCCGCCGTCCTCAGATCTTAAGGTCCCTAATACAAGGGAGGAGGCAGATCAAAGTAATAATATGAATTAAAACAGGAGGCCCCCATTAATTTTAGTCCTAATTAAAGGAGGATCCTTGCTTTTCCAGATTCTCACCCTTTAAAACTCACATATCTTGTGACCATTTGGTATGAACATTGGTAAGAAACACCATGCAATAATGAAAGCTTGAGCAAGAGTATTAAATGCAATCTTAATAATAATATTGCATGTTACAGTGTGGTAATTTACACAGAAAAATTATATAATCACATAATTCCAAACAAAGGAAGTCAGGTTATTGACTCACCTGCTCCAACTTTTGAGAAATAGATATAGTAAACAGTTACAATTAATGCAAAGTTGAAAGTTTGAAAGCTAAGAGGTATACATCACTATCATCAGACCCTATGCACCATTGCAAAAAAAGGTCAATTACCAGGAAATCATTGATTTTTGTTACTAGGTGGTACTGTACTTAAAATACTTCTACTGACACAAATGCATTTTTCTAAAGTTATCTCAAAGCATATGACTGTACAGGTCATGTGGATAATTCCTGCATGGGGACTGACATTTCAATTACCCCAGCAAACTTTAATCATCAGAATTACAAGCTGAGGTGTATTTACCAAGTGCTCAAGTTTCCAAATTAGTCACCTAACTCAGTTACAGTGGAGTTCACTCCTTTTTGAGGCTATCTTGAGCTTGATCATCCTGTTGCATGTGAAAACATCAAATGTTACTCACATACTCAAATAATTACCTAAACGAAAAGTTATATTTTTTTTAATAATATAATTAATATATAATAATATATATATAATCAGCAAAAGAATCCTCGACAGAATTAACAGCAGAATCATGAGAACGGCCAAGTTCAACCAGTGGAAAAGTACTGCCTCCGCAATCGGGTGGTTCAAATCCATAAAAAACAAACAACACCTAAGTTTTATTTGCTTCGACATCGAGGAATTCTACCCATCCATCAGCCAAGACCTTTTCAACAAAGCACTTGACTTCGCATCCACATATGACAACATCACCATGGAGGAACGGAACATCATAATCCACGCTAAGAAATCAACACTCATACACAAGCGGCAACCCTGGCAAAAGAAAGGAGACACGACATTTGACGTCACGATGGGCAGCTACGACGGCGCCGAAACGTACGATCTAGTAGGAAGTTTTCTTCTTTCACAGCTACAAGACCTCAACATCAACGTAGGACTCTACAGAGTCGACGGACTAGCCACCACT